GCTGCACAGAAACCTGGCTTCTGGCTGGGGCTTGCCAAATGAGAGCCAGGGGGAGAAAAAGCACATCGTGGAAGCTGTTAAGAGAGGAGTGATTAGGAAAGCAGGAACGCTTACCAGCATTTTTTAGTTTGTTTGTACATGAGCCACAACTTTAGTCCAACTGAAAAAAAAGGATCTTGTGACTGCTGTATTTAGCTGTAACTGTCCTTTCAGCACATCACAGTGTAGTTCTGGGCAATTTTAATTTCAGAAAACCGTAGTGATCAAAACAATGGCTGTCTTGTCTTAAAAATTGTGCACAGGGCATGTTTTCTAGCTGCTGGCTAGAAAGGGCCTCTAGAAATAGAATAAAACACACCCTCGTAGTCACAGGCCAGAGCTGGGGAGTTTTCTCTTGGTTCTGGGTTTTGCCCTGCAGAGCTCAGGGAGAGTGGCTAATGACCGGCTCTGCTGCCCGGTAATTGCTTTTTCAAATCCCCACACTGAGATGAGGCAGAACGGCACCGAGCACAGCAGTGCCACTCATCTTACACCACACAGCTTTCAGCACCAACACAGCGGAACAAGACTGTTGCTACCCGGTAGCAAAAGAAACCCAAGTATCTCCTCCCTCACAAAGTTTGTTACTTTGGCAAACCGCCTGGAGCTGAAGGGAAGTGCTGGCAGGTGAGCAGCAGCTCCTGCCTTTCCTTCACACATCTGTACCTGCCAGGAGCAGCCTCTCTTCAGCTGCAGCTCCAGCCCCGAGTTCCATTTGCTTGTTTAACTGAAATTCAGGACCCAGATCTAGAGAACACTCTTTACCACCTTTAGTATTATGGAAAATGGGAATAGGGGGGAAGAGACAATGCACAGTACCAGGAGTACACACCTGTCCCCCTTTCTGTTGGCCACATCATACGGACGGAGAAAATCCAACTTGTTCTTGCTTATAACGCAGATATCGATGTTGCTGCCGGAGCCCAGGTCGTTGTAGATGCCGGCTGCGATGGCATCTCGCACAAGCTGTTTGGCTTCCTCTTCCTGGAAAAGTTAAAAGCTGTCATGGCACAAGTGTTGGCATTTCACAGACATGTTTGTCCATGTGACAGTGGAAGCTGTGAGCTCTCCCAACGATCAACGAGAAACCAGCGCCGCCTGAATCACCGGAGTGCTGCCGGGGGCTGCTGCAGGGACACAGCCTGTCCTCCTGTTCATGACCCACCACCCCCACGACGGACCAGACCTACAGACAGGCAAGGAAAGATTAAGATTTCTGTCTGAATTAATTAAAAAAAAAAATTTACCATCCAGGCTTTTGTGTACACGTACATTACACATTCCCTGTAGTGCCCTCGGTGTCCCAGCTGACACAGAGTGAAGAGTCACCGTGGTGCAGCTGCAGGACTCCCCCAGGCAGGGACTGTATGGGCAGCCTCTCTAGTACCAAAATTACTCCTGTGATTCTGTAACACAGCTTGGTTTGCAAAATTTATTTGGCTCATCTTAATAGAAACCACTGCAAAGCAGCCTGGCTCTGTGCTGAACTGTGGCTGGCTGGTGCCTTTAATTCCAGCCCCAGACACAACTGCTGAGAATTTAAAGAAACTTGGTGAAAACACTGGTCAAACTAGGTCCCTCCAGCACCATACTGGGATTTGTAGTTAAGCTCTTACCATTTCAGTGAAAAGATGCTGCGGTTTTTTCTGCTGTATGCGTCAGAAATTCCACAGGTAACTAAAGCAAAGCTGTATTTAATACAGTTCACTTAAAGCACACTATCTATGCATTTCAAAAGCATTTATAATTCTAAATTACTTTGCACAACTAATAGAAACATGTTTGCGAGAAAACTAGAAAACTAGAGCAGGAACCAAAGCTCATGATTTTTACTGCTGCTGACACCAGGCACTAATCCTGCAGAAGTTCAAGTGTTTGCTTTCTGACAGGTTTTGTATCTCTGCTTTCTTTCAAAGGGGCAAACACACAGCTGCTAAAATACCCACCTGCATCCCACACTGAGAAATTTACTATTTAGAAGCTAAACAGCCTGAACCAGAGCAGTAGTGTCTGCGCTACACAAACACAAGGAACCGTCAGATGAGTATCTTTTACAGGGAAACATTTCAAATTAATCAAACTTGCCATTAAAGTATCACTACAGATCTGTAATCATCTTAATTCCCCCCCAACAAAATCCATGAATGGCACTGCTGTGAAGGCAGCAGAACCAGGAGCTGGGATGTGCCCGACGCGGCCATTGCAGCTGCGCTGGCTCCCTCTGCAGATCCCGGGCAGGGCTCAGCTCACAGAACATCACAGACCAGCTCCAGCGCTGTTAGAAAGCCCATCGTTCTGCACTGCACCTGAACACGGAGAGCACGGAGATGTGCTGCAAACCCGCCTGGCTCCATGCTTCATTTTAAACCTGGTAAAAGCAGGGACAGCCAGCTGTTCAGTACCCGGACAGAAGATGCACTGTCGCTTGGCAGAGCCCCCAGCTTCAGCACGGGGAGTCCTCTGTCCCGCACCTCATGACAGCACACAGCACTGCTCACTAACGGAGACAAAACCAGCCGGGACACATCCTGCACCCCCAGCTCCACTAACACCGGTACGGGTACGTGCTGGGGGTGCAGACATCTGGCAGGAGTGTCAGAAAAAAACCAGGAAAGCAGGTTGTGTCCATATATCCACACACACCCCCTCCACACACACTTTAATCTTTGCAGTGGCCTCGTCAGTACATACCAAAGACCTTTAATTTTTCTCAATGATGTACCTAAGGACTGAACTTGAAAGCTACAACCAGAGCATGCCTGTTCCCGGATAGAAGGAATAAGACCAAAACACAGCTAGGAGCAGAAATTCGGACTCGGGTTCACCCTCAAGTCCCGTACAGCAGCTGCTCAGCGACAGCCCAACGCGGTCGTAACTGAACACTCCTTACCACCATCGCTGGTCCCCGCTTTGCTGTGTTTCACGCCTCTGATTCATCTTCTGCCATTGGGCATCATGAACAAAAGAGCAAACACTCAATGCTCATTTTCATAAATGCGGCTTTTAAAAATTTGCCTCACATTACAGGCCTCGGTGTCTCTGCCCGTGTCCTGCCCTGTGAATGTAACAGTGCCGAGACCCCCAGCCCGCCCCGTCGCATGGCAGCTGCACAGCCCATGTGAGAGGAGCCCAAAATTAGCTACCACCACGTCTGCTCCCGCTGCATGCTCTGCATTCTCCGCTGCACGCTATAAAAGAACTCGTTAATACAGTATTCCTGGTCTAACAGCTTCATTACGGTACTGGCCAGGAGGGGGGCTTTTCTTCCCCCCAGTAAACTATCGAAATAGCATAAATTCTTATTTCACTCCCATTTTTATTAGCAGTTCACTTTTTTTTAAAACAACAAACATTGAATTATACTTTCTACCCATCTGACTAGAACAAAACAGCCACACTGTAAAAATAACTCCTGTGTGTTTCTTCAGTGGTTTTGGTAATAAAACTCTGATAAGTATTTCCTCATTCAACTGACAGAGGAGCACTGTCACGGATTTGTTGCATGCTGAGGGTATTCCTGTACTATAGTCAAAGCAGACACACTCAAATAAAACAAAAAAGCATGTGTAGGTATGTTTTAAAATGAAGTGGCAGCAAAAGCATTTTAACTTCTGATGTGAGTGGTTAGTACAAGAAAAACCCAGCAGCTCCGGAAAACTACAGCAGGGTGGTGAGGGTTTGTTCCCCTCTCCCTTTTGGTTTTAATTTAATCTTTTTTAGACAACAATGGAAATATCTGTCATCTCCCTAATTTAATCTTTTTTTTCTTTGTAAAACATACTCTATGGAACTACTGTCACCAAAACAGTTCTAAAAATACCCAGTGGAGCCAGTAGAGCTCAGCCGTAGCTGCACAGAGACAGCCCTACACCGGGACAGTCTAATGTCATCTCAGCTCTTTCCTCTGCCTCGTTCATGAACCTGGAATAATTTTAATTAGAGAAAACCCTGCTTCAACATTGTGTTTACTCCTCCCCTTTTCATAATTTAGAAGGATGAGCAGACTGGGCACAAGGAAAACCCCGCAACATTCCTCGATACGGACCCTGCACACAGAGTTCTCGCAAGGACTGCGACTCACCATCCGAAAATGGGGGTCAGCCGGGAAAGCGCTGACACAGTGCAGGGGCACGAGTGAGTCACCGGAATAATTAATCTTAAAAAATCCTAAAAGTTCAGGGTATATAAAAGGAGCACTTCCTACTTTATGGCTGCAAAGCCCAAGCTAACTGGGAATATCATTCTCGGGGGTCCACAGTGCGGCTTAAATGAGATTACCGCGGGAGTGATGCACGGCGGCGCGCGGCGGCGGTGACAGGCAGCGCTTTATGGAGCTATCTGTCTGTCTCCATCGCCGCACCGCACAATGTGTCCCCGGACTCCAATGTGCAGCTCCATTTACCACCACATGACAAATGGGCAGCACTTGTAAAAGGCGCAAAGAGGTCCAGATCAGCCGTGTAATGGTCACCGCAGATGTACCCTGGTGCTTGAGGGGGGAAAACCAGACCCCCAAGTTCATTAAAGTGACCAGTAATGGATCTTTCGAAATGCGTCTGAGGAATAGTACAGTAAAGGCTAAAATAAATAACTCAGCATGGAAGGCTAATCTGAAACGGTGTTTGATAAATTATTTATAACACAGACAATTGTCTGCATTTAATATCGGAGCTACTGGTAGCATCTTTAAAAGATGATTTATGTGCTGTAATGCCATTAAGCTTTATATGGGCCCACTGCTAGCGATAAAGTCTGCTGAGATTTAGAGAATGAGTTTTAAACTGTCACTGCAACATCAGAGTAGATAGAGACTGTATTAAATCTTTACTTTAAACCTGTTATCTGGAGAGTTGCATTTTGTAGACACTCAAGAACTGATAGATTACCTCTCTGCAGCCGCTACGGTGCAAGTCCCAAACAGCACCAATAAAGAACTTTTACACATCCTTCTTCTCGATGACTTGAGTTGAGTTTCTCTGCTCACTTAAGCTATTTCCAAATTCCAAATGCTACTGAAGGAAAAAAAAAAAAAGAGACTTTCCTGCAGAAGATGGGGCTATTTCTACACCATATTAATGCCATCTTTACGAACAGTTTTTAAACAAGTTTATCATTATGCCTCCGTCAGTAAAGGAAGGAGCTGGAACTGCTTTGTGAATATTATTTCCTCAACATTTTGTAACTTCGCAAACAAGTTAAACAGGAGATATCTTTCCAGATTTAAAGACTGTAGAAAGGATTATTTTTTAAAAATTTTTACCAAAGTGAAATTAATACCTGCTGCAGATCACCAGTACCCTGTCAGACCTACGATACACAGTACAGTTCTCCAATAACGTCTTATCAAGAATTTAAATCCAGTACACAGTGAATATTAGTCTAGAATTTATGCGTGCAACAATTTTTGTAAAAATAAATTATCACAACTGTATTTTACAACAGAATTAAATTTTTTCAAATCATAATATAAAAAGTCAATCCTACTTAAAGCTAGAATCCAAAAGACTCACATGGGAAGAAAAGAAGAAAAAAAAAAAAGGGGAAGCTTCAGGAAGGACAATGATAATAAAAACATAAATCTATAAAGGAGTGTTGGGAATTTGGGGCTAGGAAAGTGATACCTCCTGAAGGACAGAAGCACCTACAGAAGCATAATTAGACTTTGGAAGAGTAATCAGCAGACTACAACATGCGAGAGGACGTGCAAGCCTGCCTGCTGGGAGAAGCTGTGGAGGAGATCAATACCTAACTGGAAGCAATGCTAAAATCTGCTGGCTACGTCCAAAGAGAACAAAACTGGGAAGCAAAGTAGTTTGTGTGTTTCTTGTAAGGGGAGGTTGAAAGACTCCATTAGCGAGAATGAATTTGTTCTGGCTGCCTTTTGAAGCTGGGAAGGGGCTGCATGTGTAGTTTAAACCACTCAGGTTTAACCCACCTTCCCCAAAAGAGGATGCATGTCAGGCAGTACCTCAGACACATGAATG